TACCAGGTATGTGTGTTATTTGAGGTATATGGAGCATAATTATGGAGCTAGTGATTACTTATGCATTGATTATGAACCTACTCATCCTATAAATATCCTGCAAATCAGATAATGTGAACAAGAAACTACAGAAAATATAAGAATAATCAACTGATGATCCAGAAGTAGTAGCAGTGGACCAATATTCGTACACAACAGATCACTTATTTTATCAATATAACCCTGTATTCTGAAAAATTAACAAACTTTCCTAGATACCTATAGAAAATACAAGAGGAAATATATTTCTTTGTTTGATTATATTGTAGTCAAAAACAGAGCAATTGATCGAAGTATTTGAGCATAAAAAAATAACAAAATATGATTCTGAACAAAATTAATGAAAAATAACACTACTATCATAAGTGAACCTATAATAAAGGATAGTTCAAGGAATCTCTCAAATAAACATAGCTCCTCTTTGTTGGGTAACGTACTCTTGCTCAAATATCTCAACTTGAAAACACGTGTCTGCTGATGTCCATTTTACCCGTTCAGAAAGAATCTCAACATTCACAATTGGTCTGGTTCTGATCATTTTTCCAAACTTCCATACTTATGGTGTTTCTCTTGTTGTATTTGGTATTATTGATGGGATTCCTACCTTGAGTTTTCTTCTCTTTGGTGTGTGATTTAGCAATTCTGCTTGTGCCGTTCAAAATCCTCGGCATCGAAATGGGCAGAACATATTCGCCAAGTTTTGGTATTAAATGAATTAAAATTACGTCCACAAAATTGAATCCATTTCTCACGAATCGACTCATCTTATGGAAATTAATGGAAACACAAACTAAATTCACTAGTCTCATTACACTTGTACGAATTTTAACAAGAAGTGACCGGACAAATTATCATTTTTACATTTTCAAGTTCAAAATACTAGCGTCTGCGGACAGGACTCCGTGGTAGGGGAACGTCAGTTAACTTGTGTCGAGTCTAATATAAGAAAGGCATTTTTTTTTAACAATCAATCGACCTAGATGAACCTTTTTTCTTGAAGAAGGAGAATTTTTCTTGAGGAAGGAAAATATTGTTCCTGCATAAAAAATGAGAAAACCTAACCTATCTATTTTATGAGTATATCTGTACTTGTTTCGTTGACCTGTGTAAAACTTGATGTTTATTAACACCAAATAAAATATTCTAGAAGGAGAATTTTTCTTGAGGAAGGAAAATATTGTTCCTGCATAAAAAATGAGAAAACCTAACGTATCTATTTTATGAGTATATCTGTACTTGTTTCGTGGACCTGTGTAAAACTTAATGTTTATTAACACCAAATAAAATATTCTATTCTATTTTAACCTAACCTAACCGAACCTCACCTCTGGCTTAAACATAGAAAACCCCTAAATGAACCTATTTCCCATAGAGAATATTTTTTAGAAATCACTTGAGAACAAGAAAAAAATAAAAAAAAGACGAGTCTCGCACGGATTCGAACCCCGGCCCGCCGGCTTGGCATGCCGATGCTCTCGTTACTGAGCCAACCAGTTGCTTACGTGACGAAGTATGATGAAGTCATTCAGTCGGCGCCGCATAACGCCAGTCGCATCTACTGCCCACTATAACGTTCTCCCACCACGGAGTTATTACTTGCGCCTGTCCGCAGACGCTAATGTTCAAAATGGTTCAAATATTCGAAAATACTGACAACTGTCAACTCAATACATGCGCCGGCCAATCGCCGGCGTACATATCATACACGAAGTGTACGAGAGTGCTACACTTTTCGTGCAAAAGAAAGGACCTATTACGTCATGAGTTACTCAAGGTTACTCGCGGGGTGCGATCGAGGCAACCCAAGGTCTATTAACTTCTATAAGGTTACCTCATAGTATAGCATTATGGTGCGGGGGTGCGCGGAGGGGCGTGACGTCAGTGTTTCCCCACCACGTGATTGTTGATTTCGTTTGTGTCACTGTCAAATGAATTGGAAAAAATTTTGAATTTGAATTCGAAAGAATCGCGAATTTTAGACTTTAGTTGAAAACAGGGTGACAAGAAGACTGAAGATATCTTTGAAAGAGTGTGAGGGGTTGTATAATAATATGGTGTAGTATTATTCAAGGCTGGTCACATCATAAATATCATAATATTATTGTGTGGAGTCAAGAGTGGATATAGAACAAACAAATGTTATGAAATGCCTGTTTGGCAGCCTCCACATGAGATTCAGATAATTCCAAAGGAAAATGATGAGCTGTGGCAATGTGAATGTCCCTGTGAAGCAGGCATGTCATGGTTTTGTATACACATTTTATAGGGACTTATATTGACAGGTAGGAAGGTGCACTTTTGATCTATCACACACACAGGTAAAAAATACATGAAATTTCAGGAATGAAGACTTGGAATATGTGAAGCTGCATATATAACAAACAGAAGTGGTGAAAATTGAAAAAAGAGAGTAGATCAATCAATGATCTATTATACAGCCGAACCATTTCAATAGAAGGAAAGTGACCCGCTAAAATCATTCTTCCTTTATATAATTGAAGTTAATTTCACAGGGTATATCAGTCTATTTTGTTTTTTGTTTGGAAGCCAATGAACTCAATGTGAACAACTAGCTATTGCATGGTACTCAGGAACACTGGTGAGTTTATTAAATTTTACTTATACTTGCTACTTTATTTTTACATGTAGCAAGGAGTCTTGGGAAAAAAGGCAATCAACTTCTTCTTTCCAAAGGATTTTTCAAATAAATTTGTTCAGCATGGAGTTCAATATGAATCCAAAGCTCTTTCAAAATGTTCATTGAAAATGATATTGAATTTCAAATCATGCAAACTAATTTGTGTCCCAATATTTTCCATGGTTAGGATTTTCTCAATATGAAATTATTTTTCAGGAAGGAAGACCATGGAAATAATTGAAATAAGTGTCCTTACTGAGGTCCTTACATAGAGGTTTGTTAAATAATGTGTATTACATTCAGCTTGAATTATTTTCTCAAAATTTTAGGTAAAGGTTCAGAACATTTTGTGGAACAATGCCATTTCTTGATAGGAGATGGTATAAAAAATGTGAAGTTGGAAGAGAGACACACTTATTATGGATAAATTCAGTTGGGAATAATGGCCCTAAAATGTCCCTAATGAACTTGAAAGAAACTAATTTTCTTGTATGATTCTTCTTCATCCAAAACTTACATAAAGATTCCAGTTTTTTTGTGATACATTTTGTGTTAATGTTATGAGGAAGATATCTCAAAGATATTTCCATTATGTTGCACTTTTATTGCATTAATAAAATGGAATGAATTGTGATGACTTCTTTATTAATTCATTTTCTTATTATTGCATTTTCAAACAATAATATGTTCCAAATTGATACTGAAATAAAACCAGTGAGTTACAATCATTCAATTTATCCAGAAGGAAATCCTCTTTAGTTAATTGTTTCTTGTTTCTCAGAAATGATGGCCTAATCAATTTCAAGATATTTCTTCACATCCCTTGTCAGCATGCCCTTATCCACCATGATTTCATCATTAGGTTCAGACTTCCCAATAACATTTTCTTTATTAAAAAATGCTTTATCAGTAGTTCAACCTCCATAATCCTTATTAATGCCAACAGTAATCAGTCCTAATGGAGTGGTATTGCAATAAGAATTTGACTAAGTTTCTGTAATGTGTCTGTACAACAGGAGCACTGAGGAACATATCTTTCTAGATTTCTGTCTTCAGTCTTTTGTACTTGCTGCATGTTTTGGGAAAACAGTGAACAATCTCTTGGACACAAAAACATATTGGAAAACTTCAAAATTTTTTGTTTTTCACCTCCGCCATTTTCATTTTGCCGTTCGACAAAAGACAATGGGGAAACAGTGACGTCAGGGCAGGTCAATATGAGGCAACCTTATAGAGTTGAATAGCCTTGGAGGCAACCTTCCTCTATAAAATAGTCATCAGTTCTACCAACCTTGCAGATTTCGAACTATGGTACGCCATCTAGTTGTGAGATTTTTTCGGACCTCGTTTTGCCCCATAAGGTTGGGCATCTTCCCAGCGTAAGCGTAATATATCAATCAACGCCCTTCACTAGAATTCCATCTCCTTCATAAAAGCCAGTGATATTTCTTGATGAATTCAATTATTTCTTCATACCTATTTGTAATAGCTGATTGCTTCCAGTCCATGCAAGTGTTGAGTGGACCATTCCGACCATTCCATATGTTTGAAAACTGTGGAATTGTAGTGTGATATCAATGATGAATACCACCATTATCCACATCCAAATAGCAATTTCTCTGCACAAAAAGTAATTTTTTCCATACTGGAAACCTTGTGCGTATTTCACGAAGTCAACTCATTATTCACTATTTTGCAAAATGATTTCGAAATAACCAATTTGCAATGAGTGCATACGGCAATGTTTTTGTTGTTCATACTCAGTTTGAAATTTGACGTTGATTTGACGTTAAATAGAGCCATCTATTGGTTCGTGATTTTCCGTTAGCATCGCCAGATTCAAAATCACCCAGCAAGAAACAAAGCTTAAGGGAATGTATGATCCATAGAGAAATTTTTGGTTTGTCTATGGTATGATCTAAGGGAAGGACTTCGTGGCCAGTGCGTGCTGTGCTAGGGTATAGTTCAGTGGCTGTGCTGTGCTATGTGCATATGTGCCATGACTGCAAAGTGCTATGTGCCATTGCCAAATGCCAATTGCCAATGCCAATATTGCCATTCTCTAGTGTCTATTCTTTCTTCTTCTTCCATTGTTTGTTTTGTTGAAAAAAATCAAATATTTGAATTGTCGATGTGAAATATGAATCCTGTGCCGCACAATGAACTGAATAGGTGTTTATATTGAGTTCATTGGTACCGCATAAACATTCGCGAAATTGATTAAAACATTTGTATGGTGCTTGTATGAAATAATATTCTATCATGACTTCTGGAAGGTCTGTATGGAAAAAACTGGAGGATGAACAAAGTGAAACACTAAAAAATGTCAAGGATATTTATCTACAGGAAGAAATATGGTAATAAAGAAAAATCATTATGGTACGCAGAAATGAAATTTTTGGTATATCTTTAGTGGCAATATTATGCCTCCTTCTCATTGGATTTAGCCAGAAAGAGAATACAAACTATAATAGAAGTCATAGATATCAACAGCTTCTCGACTTTGAGGAGAGTTTCAAAACCCCTAATAACTTCACAATTCCTACACCTTCCATAAAAGATGTAATATCCATGCAAGGAACACTGTTACTCCATGAATTGCAAGATTACCAGTTTCCTGAAGGGGATAACTTGGAAGATTATACCTTGTCCACAAATGGGCGACCACTCAGGACTATTATAATATCTACTTGGAGGTCAGGATCTACTTTCTTGGGAGACGTTTTGAATGCAGTTCCTGGAAATTACTACCACTATGAACCTCTTCTGCACTATGGAATCATACAAATCCGTAGTGCTCCCCATGCAGAACCTGCCCAGGATACACTCAAAAGCTTACTCAACTGTGATTATTCAAGTTTATTTAATTATTTGCAATATGGAATGTCCCATGTTTATTTATTTACTCATAATACAAGATTATGGAATCAGTGTGAGGTTTATCCTCAGTATTGTTGGAATCAAACATTCTTAAATCAGTTTTGCAAACTTTTTCCTTTCCAGTCCATGAAGACTGTGAGGTTAAGATTGTGGCTAGCAGAAAGTATTCTGAAAGATAAAGAGTAAGGCAAAATTTGGATTAATATTCATCATGTTTCATTGGCTAAGATATTTTTTTCTTCTAGGTTGAATGTGAAAGTTGTCTTGCTAGTAAGAGATCCAAGAGGAACTCTTCAATCTCGTAAGCACAGGGATTGGTGTCCTGGAGAACCTGACTGTGATCAACCCAATATTGTCTGTGCTGATATGGTCTCAGACTTTAGGGCAGCTATACAACTGGGGAAAAATTATCCTGATAAATTCCGGTAAGCACACTGAACAGTTGATAATGAGGGCTAACATTATTTATTGTCCACCAGATCTTGGCACTGAAAGGTGAGGTCAGAGTTGGTAGAACTATAAATATACTTCTTCTTTTTGTGTCATTTGGCCTCCTCCTACCATATCTTTTCTTCCAAAAATCCTCAATGTAAGAATTGGTCTTGGTCATAATGTTCCACATTGAGAGTAAAAAAAAAGTAACTCTGCTCAAGTCTTTCCATAACTTGAGGTTTTCTATTTGTTCAAATATTCTACCTAATTTTTTTCAGATGTTTTCCATAATACAGAAATTTTGGGATTTTTTACCTTGGCATTGACCTCACATTTTAGTATTAGTAGTGCAACAAATGTTGTTCAATTATTTGAACATTTTGTGGAAACAACTTCAAATCATCTTATTATAGCTGGAAGAGAATTATAACAGTGCAAAATCAGGCAAATCCCAAGTCTTCACCTTTGGTGATTTCTCCATATAATTATCCATAACTTCAATAGGGAATTGTATTGTGTTGTTGATGTAATTGTCAACAGGTTGACCAGGAAATATGGAAATATTATTTTCACTTGAAAATGGTACCCCTGTTTATTTTCTTTAGGCCTCACCATTTTTGGGATAAATTGATTTGAAAAGTATGCTGCCTGATACCACCATACTATTTTTCAATTTATTCTTTTTATTGTCCCCTTCCCCCATATTCAAAATAAAACATAAGAAGTAAATACAAAAAGTAGTTTTTTCTATCCAACCATAATTTTTGGGAAAAGTCGGTAGGTAAGGAAAAGCACTATTTTTATTACACTGCAGAATTTTAAAATCATCAATCTTGAAAATGGTGAATGTTATCAAAACTAAACAAGAGTACCATTTTTGAGTAAGAATGTTGAGAATTTCATGTTCACTGGACAAACAAACAAATTATGAGAATAAGTGCCCCTAGCCTCACCTATTTCCCATAAAGTTAGGTACATGTAAAACTTGGTTATTTGGTCACAAAGGGTTATAAAAATATTTGCCTTAGATTACTATAACCTCCCAGGTTTCCATTTCTGGACCCAGGTGGCTGAGCACTACTTTATTTGTTCCTGGAATCTGTGATTGAAATCTTTCTATGCAATTTCGGGACACTGTCTAAGAATGAGGTACCTAATGGAAAAATTATCAACGATATTGATAATTTTTTTCACATGACAAAATGTCACGTTTTTCTTGTTTCAACCAATGTAAATTATCTAGGACCATGCAATGTTATCAGTATAATACTGCATGATTGGCTAGAATAACGGATTGCTGTTGGTTGAAACAACGAAAACGTCACATGTTGACATGTGAAAAAAAAAATTGATAATATTTTAAGGACTCCTGGTATGACCTTTGATAATTAATGAAAAATTATCGAATTATCGGTAATACAGCAATTATCAATAATATCAACATAATCGATATTATTGATAATATCAATATTTTATGATAATCAATTTTGCGATGTTTCAAAATCGTCATCGCCCACCTGACCTCTAGTGGTGACTGATGCAGTGATTGCCCAGTGACTAAATTGAATGTATTGTGCCTCGCCTTAATTTTCGGCTTCCTCTGCTTCTCCAATTCTGCAAAGCTGCACAGTGTATATCATGGCACTCTAGTAGGATGTGCTGTCATCTGTTATATTTCCAGTTCATCCCATAGAAATATTCTTCCCCGCAGAAACTACAAGCTACAAGTGTTGTTCTCCGCCAATACCAGCTCTCTGAGATGTTCCCTGAGTCTATTATAGTGACCTGTGAGAAATCCCCTCATGGTCTTGAGACTTTTCCTGTTGAGATTAATTAGTACCTTGGATCATTATCTGCTGAAATTGCTTCCTTCTGAAAGAAAGAGTTCTTGAAGCTACAGAATGGTTCTGGTCCAATCAGTGGCGTTGATAATCCTTCTTGTGCCATTTTATCTTCTTGTTTGAATTCCTTTATTCTGCAGCGCCCTGACACCCAGAAGAGAATAACTTTTTTATCGCTTAGAGCGCACGAAAAGGAATCCCTACAACGTTCGGAGATTATCGTGCGTACCTAGGGAGGATAGAGAGATGGGGTTCTTGGGAATACCTCCTTATGCACTGAATTCCAAATCTTTGCCGTTCTATAGGCAAACAAGTTTTGATAGTGCTGTTCGACATATTTTGAGGTTTGCAACAAAACTTTGTTGTTTCTGTCTATGCCATTCAACTCTATAGATTTTTCCTTACCATCGGAAGTTGCTGTGAGGTGGTCCCAAACTTTTAATGGCTGCTCGACTATCGGACAGAATCGCTGTCCTAATTTCTGTATCTCTTGTTGAGGTTGAACTGGATATATCTTCCGATGGCGTGTTTCAAAATATTTCATTTTGACTTTCAGAGACGCCCAGAGACTCTTGGAGACTCCTGCTCCAATGTGTTTTTGGGTTTTAGACCCATCAGTGTGCCATTGTGCTATTTCCTATACTCCCCATGCAGCTTTGCTCATCACGTTATCGGCAGGTTTGAGGTCTAAAATGACTCTAGTGCTGTTGTTGGAGTTGATTCCATTGCTCCTATTAGAGGCATGCTAGTCTTTGTTGTTGCTAGTTTGATTCGTTCGTGCTACACTACCACTGTAGGTAATCATAGGCCTCAATATGATGGGGTATATCCACCTCAGTAATGCTTCTCCGCACCATTAGTGATGACATTGCCTTGTTGACTATCTTTTCAACTGTCGGACATGTAAAATAAAATTGAGTAGATATTTCACTTTTTGCTTCTGCCATTGTAGGTTTTCTCCCTCAAGGCCAAAGTGTCTCAAGTGCTCTAGCTTTGTTCTTGTTGTGAATAGGGGCATTGTGGCTTTAGCTGAGTTGTTTTTGTCCCATCTAGATGCACTAGTTCCTTACGATTTCTAGCTTTCTCTTTAGAGATCACAGATGATTCCTCCATGTATATATTTTGATTTTAAAAATGATACATGAAAGAATCCTTCCGGGCTCTTCATGCATACACTGCTGGCCAACAGCCATGGAACCACCCACATCTCCGAAAAATGATATTAGGAGGAAAGACAGGTTGATAATCACTTCGGATTTGAAATGAGGAGGTCCAATTCACTAACTATTCATATTTTTCCTGAAAAGTTTTTAGTTCTGAAAAATTCAAACTACATGATTCGCTAGCGAATATCTCGATAACTATGAGATATAGGGAAAACACCTACTGATACAATTTTGTTGACAATTTGATCAGCTACAATTTTGAATTGAATGACTGTTCTTGAGATATGAACGATAAATCATTAAAAGGTACCTTCTATGTCGCCCCCTGCATATTGCTCACCTTGTAAGTTCGGGGACTTTCGGAATTTTTACTTCCTATCTACTCTGAACATATCCCTAGTCTCAAATGAAACTGTCCTCTTCCATGTCCTCTACATCCCCTTATTAGCCGTTCATTGACTGAAGTAAAGGTGACGAAGTGTCTATATAGATTAGAGTTCACTGAGTGTTCTTATGGCCACAGATGTCAACAATGTCTCATTTCTCAATCAACATTTTGTGACTTCCTGCTCATTATATTTCAGGGCTCTGAGATACGAAGATCTTTCATTAAACCCTTATGAAATAATTCAGGACTTATTCGATTTTCTCGGTCTACATTTCCACAAAGATGTAGAAAGATTTCTCGATTCGCATACTCGAGTCAATGTTGGAGGGGTGTCTAGCACATTCAGGGACTCCAAAAGCGCCCCATTTCATTGGAAAACGGATCTGAACCATTCGGAAATTCAGTACATTGAAGAAAACTGTGATGAAGCCATGAAAATGTGGGGTTATGTTAAAACTAATAATGTCAGTAACTTGCGTGATTTCAACCCACTGACTGGGTATAATATTGAATGAAAACACTGCTAGGGATAGGAATTATACAGGGTGTCCCGAAATTAGCCTGCCAAACTTCACCTGCGGCTCTACGACCATAAATAGGAAGCAAAAGTTTCACTGAACATGGGTCGAGAAATGTCTCCCAAGGGAGCTACGGCCCCCAGAGAGGGGACTCGTGAAGATGATATTTCTTCAATATTTTCGAAACGCCATGTGTTAAAATGCTGCGTTTCGGTACAATACAGGGTGGGACTACATTAAATATTTCTCAAACTTTTTTGTATGCACATTATTTCGACAATTTTTGGTCATGAATAGTTTAGTTCTTGTACCGAATTACATTTCATCACATGGCGTTTCGGAAATATTCAAGAAATAGCATCTTCAGGTGGCCGTAGCTCTTTCAGGAGACATTTTTTGACTCATATTCATTGAAACTCTTTCTATTTTTTTGCCGTAGAAGCCGCTGGTGGAGTTTGACAGGCTAATTTCGGGACACCCTGTACACTGACCGATTGCAAATAACATACCAGTCCTCAAGGGACTCCCAATTTCATATCATCCATCACAGAACAACACAGTCATGGAACATCCTTCCTTATAGGATTAATTCCAGTTATCCAGTTTCAAGAAGATATACAGGGTGTTATTCAAGTATCTGGCCAAACTTCAAGGGGCGATTATTCGGGTGATTCTAAATCCGGGACTACGAAACATTCATGTAAACATAGGTACTGAAATGCTTCGTTTTCAAGATATGATATATTGAGGTGCCCTACATTAAAATTTGGAGACAATTTAATTTATTATTATTTCCTCAGCAACTAAGTGATATACAAAAATTTGATAGGAGACAAAAAAGTTGTATTTTCATTTATTTAATCTGATAAAAATATCGAGCTTTGAAATAACTACGTAGGTACTTTATTTACCATAAATATCGAAATGGTAACCCACGGCGACGCCACTGGAATCATTATTTCGAGTCTAATTACATCGAAAGAAGCTTCTTGATACTGTCAACAAAATCACCAAGTTTAATTGAAATTGGAGAACGAACTTTTGAGTGATTAATAAAAACTTTGAAATCCTGTATCTTGAAAACAGAGCATTTTTCCTATGTTTATATGAATTTTTCTACTCACATAACTAAAATGGCATTTAGCGTACGGATATGTACCACGCTAAATGATCGATTAATCACAGATAGACTCGAATTTCAGCCACACAGTGGTCGTTGTCTTACATGGTATGTTATTATCGGCCTATAAATCATTTTTTTGTTAATATTCTATACATTCACAATTTTTTTGGTACCTCGTTATGTATTTATAATGTTTGTTTCCGTCTACTCAGCCCTGTCAACAATTTGTATTTTATAGTAAATTCGTTATTGTAGAGATTATTTTACATTGATTGATATTATTTTTTATACATCTTTTCTGTCTGTTTTCATGTTTATGTCAGTTTTCGTTAAATACGAAGTCTTTGTGTGCTGTGCGTGCGATATCCGATTTCTCGAATCATGTTGATATTGATTATACATAAATTATCGAGTAAATTATAATATTATTTTGATGAATATGAAGATATAGGGTGTCCTAGTTCAACGGGGAAATGAAGAAAATGTTATTTACCTCTATGTAGGCACAAAATTGCTCCGTTTCGCCTCTAGAGAACCCCAAATTTCGCGTAATATGTATATGTTTTTTCGAAGGATCAGAATCTCATTCCCATGAAAATCGTTCGACATTTCATTGTTCTACTCAAACAAGACATTTTATCAATTAATTTTCAATATAGCTGCTTCACATAGATTTTGATCATTCGGCGAAGATTATAAAAAGAGAATGAAGAGAACTTAAATAACTCATTTCAAAATACACTGAATGAATAAAACAGTCGGCGTACTTTGGTGAGAACTCTCTACATTTCTTCAATGAAATACTGTTTTTTTTCAAACGACGACATGACTTCAGAGATTAACAAGCTTCCATCGATTATTTGTTTTGATATGGATTTTTCCTTAATCCTTTTGGTATTTAGTTTTTTTTCTGAATGAATGTTGTAATGATAATAATAATAATGTTTTAACACCTCAAAACACCACGAAATAGTCATAACGTTATGTTTAGTGTAAAAAACTGTTGAATAGTATACTATAAGACATATATAACAACCATTTCCATTGTTCATATTGGTATTTAATGACGGAAAGTGAATTGTTCCTATGAAATAGTTCGGCATGTAATGCTGAACGTAATAGAGACAATAGGAATACATTTTATTATGTTTCATAAATGGCAAACATCTCCTAAGTTGGAGGAAATGTTTTCTGAATGGGAAAATTTGGAATATTATGGACATGGCATGTGAGGTACGAATTAAATATTGTAACATTTCTGAGCGTTGGCTGGAAATAGTTCTGTACGATTCACTGTTCGGGCCAAAGCACCTGGATCGATGTCGACGGCCAGTTAGTATGTACAATAAATTGTACACACATGCCGACATACATTTATTTGTAACTGACATAAACGTTGAATGTCCAAAACTCAATCGGATTTTTTGCGAAAAGACCACCAGTTGAAGTATATGGAATTTTCTATATATATAATTGTCGTTGCTCATGAACGTAGGACTAACGGGTGAGGAGCTAGAGCATGTTGAAAATATACCAAATCAAATAATCCATTTTATGATAAATAAGTATTGAAATCAATCTTCGCTTAAGTGCATGGGTTCCAGGGCAAGGTGCATAGTATATATTCTTCGGTCCTAGGACCTTCTGTATAACAAGCACATGTAATTTAACAATTACTGAGTCTTAGAGCTAAAGCAGTGCCCTCTGACGTATCACTCAAAAAATTGGACTAGGAGAGACTTAAACCTGCCGTATTTGTCACAACGTGACCGAAACCGCGGAACACATACTTTACTTATGAATGTAATGTTCTAGTCCGCTTCAGGCTGAATCACCTAAAACAGGTCTACCTGACGCCTGCAGAGGTGGAAAATTCAACAATCAAAAAATTCGTCGGTTGCATCAGAAGTCTAGGTTTATAGAAGACAATAATTAGATGAGGGTAATGCCTACAATCTACAAACCAATCGTGGATTCATCGTCGTTTGGCATATGGGAGGCTGATACCCTGAAGGATTCGGTTCTGGTGATGGTGCAGGTGGAGCAGATCGTATTCGCTCCAGGGTACTTTTATCCTCTATCTGGTGTATCAGAGAAACTAGGTTTTTGTCTTCCGCTAACGAATAACAAGCGGCAGGTGTGAAAAACAGTATTCTACCTAGGTACTGTGACAAATCAAGAACTGTGACAAATCAAGAATCGAGTTACACGCTGACAAAAGCAATAACTGACATGGCCAGGACTTCTCCACATCAGGCAGTGTAGTTTTTAATGCGTAGATTATGAATTATCTAAACCGACGAAGAACGCTATTTTTTGCAATTTGGTATATTTCTAACTTGCTCTAGCTCCTTACACGCTGGTCAAAAATTCATGAGCAACAACAATTTTATCAACTTCATGTTTTTATAGGGTGGTATTTTTGTCAGAATGTATAGTTTCCGAGTTACGGGTAAAAAACTTAAAAGTGCGGAAATTTCGCCTGTTTTTTGGTAGAATCTTGGAACGCTCCAGGAAATTTTGTTTGCAAATTCCAGATTCAGATTCAGCACCCCGAAAAACCTACAAAACAGCAGAGGCTGAAGCCTCGGGATATAATCTTGGTCCCTGGGTGATGATGATATTCTTCACTACTTGGTGTATAAATAACTATTATTGGACTATTTGATGGTGTCTCGTCAAATCGAACAAATGCAATTCATCCGTCATATTTATGAAACACAATAGATAACAGACAATTTTTCAGAAACTGTTTTTGTTTGAAATGTTTTTCATGTATTCTATTGGTTATGAGATCGATGTTATACCGGGTGACACAGGTTATCGAGCCACCCCTGTAACTTCTGCATTTGTAAACGGATTTTTCGATGACATTACAATCCAATATGGCAGACTTCCGGTTTTTATCGAAATGCCAGCAACTTTGTTTTTTCAAATGGAACACCCTGTTTATTTTCACATATTAACAAGTGCAATCTTTATGACAAGATTCAGAAATGTTGTTTTCCACAGCTTGCTTGGAAAATTATTCGAACTGCAAAGAAATTCATAAAACTTGACTAGATTTTTTAAAGAATGCAATATGTTACTGCACCAAAAAAAAATTATGTCAATTTTTTCCTTGATGTTTGTTCTAGAATGGCATGTAGGTGGCCCATCTCGATGTGACTGAAATGATTCATCGATGAGTGACACAAAAATTAATTTTTCAGAAAAAAATATGTTCCTCTATTTTTTGGGATTCATTGTGAGTAGCCTTGACCACATCTCATTTATCCACGAGGTAAAATAAAAAAACTTTCAATTTTTCGAAAAAATTACATTTGACATGAGGATTGCACCTGTTTTGATCTGTTGAACTAGAAAATGAGGAAATATACAGGGTGTTCCATTTGAAAACACAAAGTTGCTGGTATTTTCATAAAAACCGCAAGTCCGTAATATTGGATGCTTATATAACTGTACCATATTACGAAAAAAAATCGTTTGAAAATGCAGAAATTTCAGGGGTGGCTGATACCCTGTGTCGCCCGGTATAATTTATAGATTTACATGTTGGAAATGGCCCTTGAAGTATTTCAAGTTTTATATATTTGTTCAAAATGCACTAATTTTCGAAACACTTTAATTTATTTATTTATCTATTGATTCACACTACTTGTTTGTTCCTCTCCCTCTTAGTCAATTAATTGTTTGGTAAATTTAGTGGAATCATTTAGTAGTTCAAACGATCGTATATCATAGAAGCATATCTTAATATTGTTAACTAGAACTGATAATAGTATTGTGCCTTTGAATAACCTAACCTGGCGCCACAATACAGCACTGTGAATTTTAGAAATTCGAAGATGCAAATTTTTTGCACCTTTACACA